TTCGTGGGAAGTATCTGGAGATCGAGTCCAAAGGTGTGGTCACCACAGTTACCGTAGTCCGTCAGCTTATAAGTTTGGAGGGAGGCGGGGGTGGTAGGTCGATGATCCGCATGTTCAGTACCAGTTGAGCCGCCAGCATAGAGGTAGTCCAAGTGCCACGTCTTACGCAGAGTAGTCTCGATCGTTTTCATACGTAGTCCGTGATTTGTAGATGCGTGGCCATACTTCCGGGCTTTGAAGTTGAAATCTCCCCACACGACATCTGGTTGGAAACCGCCAATCTCGGGGGGATTCATGTATCGCCCGACGTCTTATTCAGTAAGCGATTTGAGTGGAAAGTAGAACACGGCCATTCGAACGCCAAAGCACACAAAGAACACCGCGTACGGTGAAGAGTGTACAAGTTGAAAATTCGATGGGTGGTGTTTGGAAAAGATACCAATACCACAGTGTGAAGGGTGTAAGATATTATGCCGTGAAGTGTGATGTAGTATATGATAGCGTGTGTTCGAGCGTATATGATTAAGAAATGTGATGTTATGTCAGGTTTCAACCACACACATAACATAAACCTGACTTAAAATCGATATAACGTTCAAACATTTATCTGTATGTGCTGCGTTGTCCATGTTGAGTCCTTGTGGGTTGAAGAGCGTCATCCTCATTGGTCCTAACATTGTTCATCATCGGTCAATACTACTGGGCTCTCCTCTTTGACGATGTCAGCCATTTCTATATCATTGCCTGTTGTCGAAGAGTCCGTCGTGGAAAGCTGAGACTGCGTATTGCTATCCATCGTGTCGGATGATTGTGTCGGGGAGACCTTGTATATGACGCCTTGCTCCAGATTTACATACTGGTGCAGCTGGTTAGAAAAATCAGCTCCACTTATCACTTCGGTCAGGGACTCCTTCTCATAAGCAAATTCATTTTCACATTCAGAGAAGCCCATACCAGATTCCCCCCCTCCTGGACAACAAGATGTAATACTTTAAAGCTTCTATGCTCCACCGATATCTAAATATAAAATTTGTAATAGACGTACAATTAGATTGACATGTACACTATCAAAATCAATACGAACAACAAATAAAGATGAACACGGATTCACTTACAATATTCCATCGGTTTCCTTACTGTGCGCCAGCGCAGGATGCTCTCACTTTGTCTTCATCTTCCTCACAATGCTTCCGAAAGCGCTTACCGACGAATGACCATCCACTCTTCTGCAAGTTTTTACACTTGCCGTAAGAGCCAATTGGGGCACCTTGTCCATTTTTGATGAACTGGAGATAAGATTCAATCAAGAACTCATCCCGCTGATCGTTATCGTACTTCCAGTCAGCACGTGCTTTTTTTTAGCCACATAATTGTTCTTAATAGGGTTAGTTTGCTTTGATACTTTGACGGAATTTATTGCTTTAACACGTTTCTTCATTGCTTCCTGCTTTGTGGCTTTATTTCACATTCTTTCAATTGTAACACGATCCAATGTTTTTACCTCCGAATTTTCAGTTGTTAATGCTTTTATACTGTGAAGTTTTGGAATAGGAGTGTCTTTTTTCAGTGTCGGTCAATACATCTGGACAATCTAATGCTTGTTCGTAATGATCTGTTTGAAGTATTGATCCATGGTGATTCAATGTTGAGTTATTCTGAATCATATGTGCTACTGTAAAAGCCGGGCCTCCACATTAGAATCTTGTAATATAAACGTACTCTTAATAGTACGTAAAACGTACTTTTAAAACTAAATGGGTTTTAACGGTTTTTATTAATTAAATACCTTTTTTCATTTTACTAATCAGATATTAGGACAAGGCCATTATAAGGCCCCAGTAAAATATCAAATATAAGATTTGGTCTAGTTCTATTAATAGAACTATATTATAGAACTATATTAACCTTCCAAATATATTTCTATTTGAATACTTCGGTAGCGAGATGGCTCAACCGAACATAGGTTTCTACGGACTATTAGCGTTGCTTAGTTTATCCTCCGTTCAGCCAACCAGATGTGCCAGTCTGATGAAGGCCAAGTCGGTAATTCTTGATAAGTGGCAAGTTATTGGTTAATGCAATAACTATGGACATCAAGAGTATTTCTATTTTTTCTATTCTTTTTTTATTTCTAAAGATAGGATTTTATGAGTCTCTCGGATTCGCCCCAACAAAACATACCATAGTTTTTATTAGAGCGACAACGAAACACTAAATAAAATCCCTTCGCCGAAAATAGTACTGAGAGGATTATATATAGGCAATGTCTCAGCCTCACAATCCCTCATTACTAACAGACTAATTACGTTTATTTTGGTTTAATTTCATCTGAGCTTTAGAAGACTTTAGTACTTTAACTACTCCAAGACGTTAATATCACCTAACGAGACCGAAATTTACAGTACGAAAGGCTGCTGTGTATCCATTGTTGGGAAACTCTGTACACCATATGGTGTATACATCTGCTGCGTATCAGAAGAGACGGAACTAATGTAGTCACTCGTTGTATTGAATGAATGCGTGCATCAATGGCTAATTTCTTTTTATTTAATGTAACTGCATATCGATTGAATATTTATGTATATTTGTGAAAATATAAATTGTGTTGAGAGATCCTCCAAGTTCATTTTGGCGGGTTCTATTTTTGTTTGGGCGGGTTCTGTTTCCGTAAAGTCAGCATAGAAACTAGATTCTGATACAATGGTCATTATTGAAACTATGTAAACAAAGCAACTCAATAGTTTCAATCCAGAAATTGAATATTGGCAAAATTATTTTTTGGTAGACGAATTATTATTTGGGCCAATAATGGCCATATTTTATTTATGAGCTGCAACATTGGGCCTTAAGAACAAGAACCTATGGCCAATGACGTTTATAGAATATAATAGTTTGAGAACAAGTGAAAAGTATTTGTATTAACGTTGTTAAGAGTACAATTAATATCAACCCCCAACAAAAATATTGTAAAGCAGCAAGATAGGAATCGATCACAAGTCAGGCGCCACCAAATACCGTAGTATCTCTAGTATTGATATAACTGGGTGTTCAAACGCCAAAGATAGTTTCCTCTCCCACACCTCAAGCTATATACTGTATTGATGATCATGCCAGATCTTACTGATAGCAAAAGTCAGATACTTCTACTTACAGGTTTAATTCATAGTGAGATACTTGCATACAAACAAAGACTAAAAATGGGGTGTGAGACACTAATGCCGCAGCAGACCACGGATGTACTTGGATTGAAAGTATCATAGGCAAATAAATAAGTGCGATGACTTGTTTTGGACCGAAAGTTGGAAGTAGTACTTCAACAGTGTAATTAGCCGGGGTATGGGGAACATTTCTTGATGTGTCAGAGACCGGGGAGAGGGTATGGTGGTTGTTCTACATGTTGAAGAAAGGGTCCCAGGTGTTTGAGGAGGGTCCAGATACTGTGTAAGTCGCGGCGCTCCTGTAATTGCTGGAGGAAGCCAGTGCCAATGGGCGGCAGTTTCGAGCCTACCAGGATGCGTCGGATCAGTTGTTGGATGCAGGTAAAGTGGCTGGTGGTGATTTTGTGGCCACCGGGGCAGACAGGGTTAGAGACAGCCGTCGGTGCGGTAGTCGAGCACTATGAACATATACGTATTCGTTACAATCATAGCACAGTGCCGGATTGGCGTAGGCTCAAAGCAGCGATTGAAGTTGTCGTGTCCGGCTTTGTCCCAATTGTATAATACATTCTTGTGTTCAAAATCACACAAAAAATGACTATTTTCGACGGTATTGCACGTCGGTTAGTGAGACAGGAGGTCTTGTCTGATAGCAACACCGATGAGCACTTGTTCGTAACTGTTTCCCCTGTATTGAAAAAGAAAAGTCTGCTAGCACCTGACGCGCACCTAAACTACAAATTCCGTATTGGTGTTGTCAACGTTTCAAATTCTACGCAACATTCGTCATAATCACCCGAATTTCTCACTCAGGGGCATATCATGTAAAATTAAATTGAGATATTTGATGGCGACAAGCAATAGATGTTGTATGTATTATAGAAGAGTTGAAATTGTTCATGACACAGTAGTGTATAAAACATTACCTATGCCTGTTTGCTATCGTGGAGCGTTGTAAGACGTGTATATGTATTATTGTACTTTGATAGTACATACGATTATGGATTGAAGTTGCTCGTGTATATACCATAAATAAAAATAAAAATTGGACAGGGTTGCGATATAAATTATAATCGTGCTACCTCGGTAGCAGCTATTTCTTGCCGACGTGTAAGATAATCAGTTTCATAATTCATCAACAATACGTCAGAAGGCAAAAAGGGTAAAAATGCTGAATTCCGACAGTTATAATGTAATTTGTACATACAGTTCATCTTTCTCCTTGCTGACAGAGGTTATTTTAGAACATATGTGCGTCCGTACAGTTCAACATAAATACTACAATATTCTTCTTCATCCTTTCATCCCTTGGTTTGCAATATTTCCGCCTAACTGTACTGAAATATAAATATAAACATACAAGCGGAATAAAAACATTTCATAAAAACATGGCAGCGCGGCCGTGACTCACCCACGCAGTAAAATAAACGTTTAACTTGAAAAAAACGTAAAAAGAAAAACTGCTTACTTGAGAAGTTCACCCAGTTGAAATTCAGATGGTATAATTACAGCATAAACGTTTGGTTCTAACGCAAAAACGACTGATTTTGGAACGTTTTAACGAGAATCGAACTGATTGTGGTTGTTAGGTCTTTTCTAAAAAATATAAAATTTTAACTTCTGTGAATAATAAACAACAACAAACTCGAAAAGAAAAGAAAAATGAATAACAATAAATACCTGGTGAGTTCAGGTTCCCTTCACTTCTCACTCACTCAGTTATGTGTCTAACTATAAATAACACCTTAATATTAGTAAGCAACTCCTCGGCATACACCATCTCAAGGTCACCAAACATCACCTTCGGATAACAACGAAGCGTGTCCCATAGCATCTCGCGACATGGGCCTGCGCAAAGGTTGCGCGCCTGTATGGCTATTATTAACCTTACTTCTACTGGTTCTAAGCACATACGTCGAAGGGAATTCTGTGGTACCGGAAGGTGATGGTGTGGCTAACAATGGTCCTGGTGAGGTATGTTATGATCCCAGAGTCGTTGTCTTGAAATTGGCTGCGCGCATAACAATTCCATTGGAGTTTCTTGCAACAAGGGTTTCGAATACGGAATCATTTTGAGAAACAAGCAACATCACTCGGCCACACAAACGTACACACAAACGTACACACACACACACAATCATACACACACACACAC